AAATGTCCAACTCACCAATCTGTCAGCAAAGAATCCTATCAAACTATGAATAGTAGAATCATCTAAAGGTTTTGATGCCAGATGTGCAAGCACTTCTCCAAGAAGAAGGATACCTGAAAAAGGAACAGTATTCCAAAAAAGCTAAAGCATCATTATGTCAACTTAAAAAGAAAGGAAAAGAAAAAATAAGAAAAATAAAAGGGAAAAAGAAGAGAACTTCATTGATGCATAATGCATTAAAAAAAGAAAAAAACTTCACATGTAACTTAGAATATTGGGCCAATGAATAACTACTTTAAGAAAATCTCAGTTTCAAAAATGCACTCTTATTCTTCAATCTGGAAATATATCATTGGAGTGAAACCCTAACATTAGATAACAGAAAGGTATGGCCAAAAAAACCATAACGAAAAGGTACCTCTAGCACGAATGGTGTTATCAGTGGTGGTCAAATACATTTCCATCTCTCTAACCTAAATATCAAAAAATAAATAAATAAATCAAATGAGAATCAAATGAGAAAAATAAATGCACCAAGAAGAAAACAAAAGGAAAAATAAATCAATAAATAAATAAATAACCAAAATAAATAACTTTAAAATAACAGGAAGTGAAGCATACCAGTTTTTCTAGCGTTAACTTATCATTCTTTATAAGAGAAGCAATCGTGCTTACACTCGCAACCTGAAATTTAAACAACATTAACTCCAACTTTTTTCAAATTATACAAATATGAAAAAAATGAAAAAAAAAAAAAAAGGTACCCAGTTTACAAAGCAGTGATTATCATTCAAGCAACCAAAGTATAATCAACAATTTTCATCTTTCATAAACAGTGATGTACGGAAAAAGATACAATATTTACTGAAACATTGAACTTAGCAAAGTTATTAACTTCAAAATAAGACAATTAAATTAATAAACTCTTCAACAAACTTGACTGGGTTGATTGGTTTGGGTACAAATTTACAGATTTTCAGGTAATTTTCCCTCAAATTCCAGAACAATGAAACATAATTTCAATTTTTTTTTTAATTATACAAAAATAAAAAACTGAAAAAAAAAAATTTTACCCGGTTTACCAAGCAGTAATCATCATTGAAGCAACCAAAGTATAATCAACAATTTTTATCTTCATAAACAGTGATATATGTAGAAAGATACAATATTTACTGAAACAATCAACTTAGCAAAGTTATTAACTTCTAAACAAAACAACTAAATTAATAAACTCTTTTAACAAACTTGATCGATTTGATGGGTTTAGGTACAAATTTACAGATTTCAGGTAATTTACACACAAAATTCGACAACAACTAAACATACTTAGAGAACAAATAAAGCTGGAAATTTGAGAATTGAAACTAGAAGAAAGAGTAAACCTGCTGAGTCACAGAATGAGATGGGTCGACAAAAGTTTCAATGTGCCGAGTGAGCTGACTCGCGTCTGCCATTCTGGGTTTTTAGGGTTTAAGCAAAGAGGAAAGCAACATAGGCTTCAGTAGTTCGGTGTTTTAAGCAGAGAAGGAGACCGGAGAGAGCAGGGTTTAACACAAACGGTTTTTATTGGGATGAATTACAATAGAAGTCACCTAAGTTTAGGCCAAATTTTGATTTAGGCACCCGACTTCTAATAGTTTTCTAATTCCTGCCTACTTTACTTTTCGCAATGTTATAATTACAATGCCAAATATTGTAAGCTTAAAGTTATAACATATCATTAAATAAGTGTGTGGGTACATTCAATATCACGAATGAATTTTTGGGTGAAAAGAGTTAATAATATAATCACATATCACGTTATAAACTTTTTTTTTGGATAAATTGTGATCTTATTATCCAATGTAATTGTCTGTACAATAAAGCAGCCAATTAGTTGCTATTAAGCAAAAGAAACTATCAAAAAGAATGATAAAACTATACAAACAATACAAA